TCTAAAAACCAGAAAGCAGCTTAGAATCAGAAAGAAAGTGGCTCCTGGACTGAGTTGAATTAAAGACCCCGCAGTCTGGAAGAGGCTACAGAGAGGACTGCCTCCGAGTGTACTCAAAGTGATAAACACCTACTCACCTTCCGGAAACCTCACAGACAGAGGAATCTAAGTGCCTCGTTACAGAAAAACTGAATTCCCCCTTGTTTCTGCCTCCGTCATCTCCACAAAATGGCCAAACCTTCATGTGTTCAAAGAGAGTGTTAGTCCTCTGTCTTCTTCTTGGTCCAAATCATTCTCTATTGCTCTATTCCTATTCTATTACTCCATTTCTGAAGTTCTCTTTCCAATTTATTTTTTCCCACTCAGTCTCTCTTTGTCACTGACTCTTATGCTCAGCCTGCAAATATGCTCAAGTACTTCATCCCATCCTAAAATATCTTTCCCTAACACCTGTGGCTTCTCAAGCCACCTTGATGTTTCTTTATGTTTATCCCTTTAGCACCAGACTGCTTAGGGTTGACCAATGCCATCCTCTCAGTATCCCCACCTGACCACTCCATAAGTCCTCTTAAAAGCAGCAATCAACTTCTTAAGAACCAAAGCTGGAGTCTGTCCTTAGTGACTTATGGAGTTCTCTCCCTTACACAGATAAAATCAGTTTAAAACTAACACTGAAAGCAACTTAATGAAGGCTGGGTGTAGAGGTGCTTGCATTCGGATCAAGCCTTCGAGCTGTTGAAGGAAGGCCCACTACCCACTCAGTACGTTCTAAGTCACTGGGACATGTGTGCCCCTCCATGAGCAAAATGCTTGCCTTAGGACAAATGCCCAAATTTGCTATCCCCAAAGGGTGATCTGGTCACTTTTTCATGCTGCTATAGATTTCATCTATGATTAATGATAGCCTTGTGGTCTCAGGTTTAAAAAAAGATCCTATGAAACTAAAAAACCCAGAAGTATTTTAGCCTGGTAATAAGTTGCTAAGAATAGATTTGACTAGCTTGTTTTTGTGCAATGCTCTTGAATTTATTCCAGATTCTTGAATCTGCAGCTGTTAGTCAACAGGTGAAAGTGGATTCCCTAAGAGGAGCTACTCTTTGAAGGTTTTGAAATATTTTGACACAGATTTTGTTTAAATTGGTAGTACAAAGTTTAATTCCATCCTTTAGCAATAAACTTCACAGTCAAAAAAAAAAAAAGACAAAGATTTTCATGGCATTTGGCAGACTGGCTGATGTATGTGACAAGAGAGAGCACATTTCCCAACAGAATATGCTCTGGTGTCTATCTGATGTGAGGCTGAGTGAAATAGACACAGTCTCAACACAAGGAGAAGGTCATGCTGGTAAAGTGTGATGCCACACAAGAAACAGAAACTTTTAGCTCTAGATGTAATATATTTATACCTCCCCTACACTATTGTAAATTTAGATCAAACACTGATCTACCTCATAGAACTTTAATTTGTTTTGTAAAAAAAAAAAAAAAAAAAACCTTTAAGATAAGATGATTTGGGAAGAACCAAAGTTTCAGAATTAGGAAGTCTAATACTGACCAATTACAGTTTTTGATAAGTTCTCTAACCTTCCCATGTTTCAATTTTCCCCATATAAATCTGGAAAACAACTTTTTTCATAAAATTTCACAATTTTTAATATCATATGCTACACATCTGGTAAACGACTGATAACTAGAATCTATATAGAACTCAGTAAAGTCAGCAAGAAAAAATCAACCCCATTAGAAAGTTGTCAAAGGACATGAACAGAAACTTTTCAAAAAAAGACAGACTAATGGCCAACAAATGTATGAAAAAATGTTCAACATCTCTAATCATTAGGGAAATGCAAATCAAAACCACAATGAGATATCACTTAACTCCAGTGAGAATAGCTTTTATCAAAAGGTCCCAAAACAATAAATGTTGGCGTGGATGTGGAGAGATAGGAACACTCATACACTGCTGGTGGGTAAACTAGTGCAACCTCTATGGAAAGTAATAGAGATATCTCAAAGAGCTACAAGTAGAACTACCATTTCTACATTCTCCCTTTGAGGTAATCCAATTTATTTTACAGTAGTAATTTAATAAACATATTGGTAATATCTTTGCAGTGCTCCACAAAATGTTAACTTTACCAATATCAAAGACCAATGGAGAACAGAAATTTTTCAAATTATAATTTATTAAAATTGCCTACAATGCCACAAGACAGACTGTGAAATCTCCTATAGAGATTATGTCTATAGGAAGCAAGAAATTAGAACAAGTATACATTAAAACTATAATAAGGAGTTTCATTTCTATGAAAGCAAGCCGTGTATTATATATTATCTACTATATAACACATTGTTATATCCTCGTGACTTTTTCATTTTATTTTATTTATTTGGGGTGGGGGCAACGTCTCCCTGTGTCACCCAGGCTGGAGTGCAGTGGCATCATCATAGCTCACTGCAACCTCAGACTCCTGGGCCCAAGAGATCCTCCTGCCTCAGCCTCCCCAGTAACTGGGCCTGCAGGCGCAAGGCCATCACACTCGGCATATTTTTAAAATCTTTTTCTAGAGACAGGGTCTCTCTCTGTTGCTCGCGCTATCCTGGTGACTTTATATTCCTCATTATTGTGATTCAAAATTTGAATTTTTTATGTGCAATGGTTGTTATTGCAAAATAAATATACTCACTTAAAACTTTTATTTAAAAGTACCACTGATGGGGCCCAAGTTCTGGTCAGCAGCGAGGACGCGGGAGAAAACGCCCACGCGGGTCTGTCCCCGGCTTTGGGAGGACACGGCAAAGGCTCGGTAGGACCTTCGTCCTACGCAGAGGTCCCAGGCGCTGCTCGCGCGGGAAGAGCGTCCCGCCGAGCCCACGCGGGATGCAGGACGCAACCCGGGACCCGCGCCCGAGCGCGCCACCTCCACTCGCGGCCAAGGGTGGGGGTGGGGCGCGGCGTCCCGGCCGCCCGGTTACCTGGCAACAGGACGGAGCGGAATGCGTAGGGGAAGGCCGTTTGGAGAGAGCAGAAAACAAATTAAAGTTCTATGAGGTAGATCAGTGTTGATCTAAATTTACAATAGTGTAGGGGAGGTATAAATATATTACATCTAGAGCTAAAGTTTCTGTTCTGTGTGGCATCACACTTTACCAGCATGACCTTCTCCTTGTGTTGAGACTGTCTTTTTCACTCAGCCTCACATCAGATAGACACCAGAGCATATTCTGATGGGAAATGTGCTCTCTCTTGTCACATAATCAATCAGTCTACCAAATGCCCTGAAAATCTTTGTCTTTTTTTTTTTTACTGTGAAGTTTATTGCTAAAGGATGGAATTAACTTTGTACTACCAATTAAACAAAATCTGTGTCAAATATTTCAAAACCTTCAAAGAGTAGCTCCTCTTAGGAATCCACTTTCACCTGTTGACTAACAGCTGCAGATTCAAGAATCTGGA